CCTAAAAGTGGTAATTAAATTTTATCTGTGGTGATGGGGATTTATCTGTGCAATGGGGATAATTCTCTCAGAATTTATAGTTTTTGTTTTTCTGTCTTTTCTGTTTAGTTTAAACCATTCTATGTAGTGGACCATGCAAATGGAGGAGATTGAGTTCTCCCTTTTGTTATCTATGACATCATGGGAATCGATCCAAATAAATCTGGGCCAAGTCCTGATGACTTCATAAGTGCGATGAAAGGCCATATGAAAGATGGATACACGGTAAATTGTACTCACAATGCATCACCATTCCACCAGCATATCACTGCTTTAAGAAAATCTGTTTCAGCACTAGCCTCTTTAGATAGAGGCCTTGGAGAGAAATCTGAAGTGAGGCACATTAGCAAGTACTGATTCAGGAATGATAAAAAGCAGGTAATTCAGGTGAAGCTCTGGGTTACCACTGATACAAAACCTCTGTCTCTGTAATATTGACAGTCAGATTCTTCTGTATACTTGTACAGCTTCTGTAAGTGTAGCTTGCAGTGCTTTTGGGGTATGTGCTATAACAGCACAATCATTAACATACTGGAACTAAGTTGATCTTAGCTTAATGGCATTTTGGAATCACCTGATATTAAAGTGGTTCCCGTCCAACCAAATGTTAAAAAAATACCCCATACCAGGGGTGACTGGTAGTGGTGATAGCATTTACAAAACAAGAAGTGGAAGGCTGCGAATGGAAAACACAAAAGGATAACTCCTGGAGAAATTGAAACATAGAACAAACACACATTCTCGTTAGTTCACTCAATATACCAGTATGTGAGGTTCATAACGAGGCTGGTAAGCCTGGCCTGATCCAGTTAGCAATGGCCCTGATAAGCTCCTTCTACATGTGGAATGCACTGTGATGATTGAGGGTGCTGATGCAGGAGCACTGGAGCTCATTAGGGCATCACACCTTGGATATCCAATACTCATATTGAAATTGTTGCAGAACATTCTGTACATTTCTCTTCCACTCTTCTTACTGTTTTCTGAGAACCTCAGAAGTGGTGTTCGAGTCTTTGTGTGTGGCACCTAGTAGGTTGGAGATGTCTTGAGGTATCATCAAACTGGTCTTGATGTTTCTTTCAACTATAGCCATAGGTTTAGAGTACTTTCTCATGGAGCAATATACAGAAGTCCATTTGTCCTCAGTAGAGCTCTCCTCAGTTGAGCCTCAAAGTTTTCTAGAATGCTGCATGTTGGTTCATAACTCCACTTCTTGTGTACCACTTCTTGTTTTTTTTCTTGAAGAGCTATTTAGGTGACCAACCTTCATTCTAAGCTTAGCTATGATCATCCTATGGTTCATCTGGCACTCTGCTCCTCTCATGACTTATGTGACAAGAACTTGTTTAATATCAAAGTGCCTCACAATGATGTAATCAATGAAATACAAATGCTTTGACCGTGGATACCTTAATGTGTATTTATTTTTTGTCTGAAAGATGTTTTTTTGTGATCGTGAGACTATGCTTAGTGCAGAGACTTATAGTTGCTGCTTCAATCCATTTTTCATTTGCATATCCAATGCTGTGGTTTCCAAAGGAACCCACTCCAACTGTCACTTTTTTTCTCTACTCTTGCACTGGAAGGATTTTGTTGTTTTTTGGGACTTGGAGCTTCATCCAACATTTTTCATTCTTTGAATTAAGAGTTTGTGTATAAGCTCTAAGGAGAGTGGCATGCTTCTTACAAATGACAGGGATGCAAAGTGACATACAGTAAGCCTTTTGCTTATGCCAGTATGTGTTTCTGTGAGATTCGAGAGGAAGCATTTTTTACAATTACGATTTTTAATTGTAGTCAACACCATGCATAGCCTTCTCCATTCTCCCTGATAGACCCAGAAGTCTGGTCTCACTTTGAGCAGCAATATCAATGTTACAATGTTTCAACTCTGCTGCAATGAGTGCAGTCCTGTGTTTGGGTCTATCCATGCCATAGTTGCTATCCAAAAGAGTCCTTATTATCCATATTGCTAGTCATATTGACACATTACTGCTGTAAAGGTTTCATTCATCAGGCTCAATGGCCCAGTTGCAGCCTACCTAAGAAAGTGTGAGTGGACAATGTGTGGCCCACTTTTTCTAGGATGGTGTGGTCCATAAAACCAGTGCTCAGAAACACCAGCTTCTGCTGGGAGGAGCTTTCACTTAGATCCCAGCTGCTGATAACCAATAGCCCTGTGCCACTACCATGCAGGCCCAGACTAGGGACTTCCAGATCAGTCAGCCCTGCCCCTGTCACCATAATCTCCATTGTCAACAGACTTTAATAATTATAGGAATCCAGGTGAGAGCAAAACAGACACAGCTTCTTCAGTGTGAGCTGTAGTATGGACTTAGAGTTGAGTATCATCTAAACAGAAATGATCATTCAAATCCTGTGATGTTAATAACTGACCAGTTGGGAACATGCAGAATCATAGGGGGAGCAGTACAGAGCCCTTCAGGTTCAAGGGTTGACAGGGGTAGTTCATCTGCTGTGTTATTGTCTGAAAACAAATTGGAAGGTTTTGAAAAGGTAATTTGTAATGTGATATAACTGAATTAAACTAAACAGCACATTCTAAAGTTTTAGCCAGAAATAGAAGTAGATATAGGGTGAAAACTAGAAAGGGGAGAACCAGCAACAACAGCCATGCAGAGAGGAGGTAGAGCAGTATAACGCTGGTGGAAACACTATGATGCCAGATGTTATCTTCTGACTAAGAAACTCTAAGAAAATTACAAAGCTGGTACAAAGTCCATAATGTAGTAGGTAGGTTTGTCTTGAACAATCTATTGATGGTGGGGAACAGGTGTCTAGGATTGTTAAGGTTGTTCTCAGTGATATACAGTAGGAGAAGTAGCTGGTTCCAGGTCCAGAAGAAGTAGCAGACTCCACTACAACCTTGTGATTTAATCAGGTGCTCCTACAAGACTGAAGATGCACATTCAAGCCAGAAAGGACTGCCTCTATTCTAGTTTGCAGTAGGCTGCCTTCATGTGTATATGGCCAGTATACCATGGGTGTCAGGTTTGACCCGCTAAGTGAACGGGAGGATGGTCCCTATGCAGTACCTAAGGAGCAAAAAGAGAGGCGAAGTTCGAGTCGGGTTCAGAGGTCCTTGAGGAAAAAGGCAAGAGAGAGGGTATCCAAACCAGAGAGGGGCTAGGCTGAGGTCAAAGTCGAATAGGCAAATCCAAAGGTCGAAAAGAGGAGAACAACAAGTGGGTTTCCAAATCCGAGGGGAGAGACAATAGGCGAAGTCGAGGTGAGAGTTCCGAGGTAGGCAACGAGGAATCAGAAGGCAAAGAGTAACAAAGGCGAGGCAGGTGAACTGAAGTGCAACCAATACCAGGCGAAGAGC